TTTACTTAAGTGAGTTGAAACTAATCTAGTGGATAGAAACTTATCTATCCCACTCACTTATCTCTCATTCTAACTTTACAAATTAGTCCATAATATTTTTATGTCAATATTTATAATTTTACTTTCACTTTTAAGATAACTTTGTTTACTGGCATTTTTACCCAATACTGTTATTTTTACTCTTTTTCATCTAATGTGACTTTAATTCATTTTAATTATACTTGTCATCTAATTACTCTTTAATATTTATCATAAATTTCTTAATCTATAATTAAATCCACCATTACATATTTGGGTTATTATATAAACAACCAATGAACCAGACACAATCATGGGTTATCCAACCTAATTGTTATTGGACTAATCAATAATATTAAAATTGTGATGCATGGGTATCTCCCCACTAGCTCGAATACATGGATACAACTCCACGATACATATGACATTCTTATTAGGAAAAACTGTTTCTTATTTTAAATGACATAAAATTATGTCATTTTAAGAGAGAGAAAGACACAAAAATATATATTTTTATTTAAAATTTAAATAAAAAGAACTACTCACTTTCTACCCCATGATTTTCATTCCTTGTGTCTATCTCTCTCCTAAAATGACATAACTTATGTCATTTAAAATGACATAACTTATGTCATTTAAAATGACAAACATCAAACCCTTCTTATTATGCTTTGGATAGACTAGTTGCACATTGAAATTGTATTCATTGTGCAAAAGAGAAAACATCCTGGGAATTAGCCACTAGTTACCACACCCAGTTAAAATGTGGCAAAGTGAATAAAAAAATGTTGCTAAATAATTGCAACATTACTATTAGCCACATTAAATTGAAATGTGGTAAAGTTTATTAGCCACATTTTTTATTAATGTTTGCCACATTTTTAAATGTTGCCAAATAACTCTTTTTTTTTTGTAGTACTGGAGCTCATTCTGAAAAAGAAAAAGAGAAATTAACATGTAAACTTCAAAGAAAAAGAAGAATATGAAAGAAGAGAAGAAATATGCATGCATGAAAGAGAACATTAAAATTAGATTGATGGAAAAGGTTGTGGTGATATTAATACTGGTTTCTTAGTTTTGGGTGAAGGACGTACACACCTTGCAATCAGCGATTCAGCGTAGTATTCCATTAATTCGAGTTGATATACATGCCTATGCACGATGCACCACACATCTCTTGTATTAAAACTACACTTAGGTGTATATGAACAAACCTGCAAGACACAAAACTCTACGAATTATATGAAGTCGACTCTGTCGGGACCAGTACCAACGATGACAATAGGTAGCACGAATATTGAACCGAATACAATCTGTTCAAATTGGTATTGAACCGAATCATGTATCGAACATATTCAGATTGATTCAATACACGTGCTACCCGTTGTTAAATTTTATATCATAACGGCTCTATTTGGAACATTTTCCCAATTACGTGTTTAAAGTTTGTTAAATTTATTTTTTAACTTGAATTTAAATATTATATATTTAGCATGTGTGCCGGTAGTAACAAAGGATTGGATCATGACCATATTTTGTCTCACATAAGTGTTTAACTCACGTATCTCAAATAACTCCAAACATTTGATGTCACTAAAAAATTTGTTTTACAGTGAAGACAATTTTAATTCAACTTTGACGTTATCTGACACTAGGTTCTTTTCCAAAAAATCTTAAGCCTACTCCTCACATCACGGGGTATTACATTTTGGGGAATTAATTCTTTACACTCAAACTCAGAACCTATGTAATCAAGACACTAGTAGATGTCTTTAACCACTAAGCCTATCTCTTTGGTTGAAACTATTCCAATTTTCAAGTACTTCTTTAAGTATTACTTTCAACAACAAAATGAGATTAAAGTAAGCCATATATGTGGATTAATTGAATATAGAATTGCATCATACAAATTTCAATTGCGTTTCACTTATTGTCTAACATTTCGAGCATTGTGCGTTAAACCATCAATAGCAAGAAATACACATCAATCTGATATAAAAATACTACCAATAAAGTAATTAGGTGCACGGAACCACTTCAACACAAATTCCTTTTTCATCCAATTGATTAAATCAATCGATATAGGTAAATATGACCAACCCTAACAAACCAAAAATTAAAACGTGTCAAGCGTAATTGCTTGGGGTGAATGAGCACATATTTTAACCTATTCTAAAGAACTAATTCAACCAAAAAATTTAAGCTATTAAGTGAGGGTATCTTTAATGGTTCATATTATATTCTAACACACCACCTCATACGAGACCCCATTGGGCTTGAAGGGTGGACAAATGCACTGGATCACCTACCTGAGCTAAGAAAGAAATTCCACTAGAAAGAAGTGAGGGGTGAAGATTGAACCCGGTACACCAAGGCTCTAATACCATATAAAAATTAATTTAACCCAAAAGCTTAAGCTAATAGGTGAAGGTTTTTTATTTATTTTATATATCTCTAACATGCCTCCTCACAAGTGTAACGCCTGGCAACTTGCAAGGATCAACAACTGTCCCCACACACTAACACGAGACTTTTCAGCGTGCTTTATCCTCATCGCACACTTCCCGGGAAAACTTCTCAGGAGGTCACCCATCCCAGAATTGTCCCAAGTCAAGCACGCTTAACTATGGAGTTCTTCCGTTCCGGGTTACCGAAAAGTAGATGCATCTTGTTAGTATAGCTAGTACCAATTAATTCTTATAAGCTATTCCCAACTGTACCGTCTCATACCAGCACAGTCTCTGGAATCCCTCTCTTTCGGGTGTTGATTTGATTCATTTATGTACCCCCGTCGCTGGAAGCCTGCCAGGAGCCGCTCCTTGTCCATGCCCTTTTGCACCGACGATCACTCCCTGCCCTCGTCAGCGCTCGGGATGTTACAACAAGAGAGCTCATTGGCCTTGAAAGGTGGATTATGCATTAGGTCCAACCTACCTGTGCTAAGAAATTTCACAAAGAAAATAGGGGGCGACGAGGATCGAACTCGGGACACCGAGACTCTGATACCATGTAAAGAACCAATTCAACCCAAAAACTTAAGCTTTTTGGTGAGGTTACATTAATGGCTTTATATATCTCTAACACGCTTCCTCATAAAAAAGCTCATTGGGCTTGAACGGTGGATGATGCATCAGCCCCAGCCTACCTATGCTAAGAAAAGCCACAAAGAAAATGGGGGGCGGCGAGGATCGAACCCGGGACACGAGGCTCTAATACCATATAAAGCACTATAATTCAACCCAAAATCTTAAACTGTTAACTGAAGGTCTCTTTAATGGTTTATATTATACTCTAGCATCTATCAATCCTCTATATCAAAATAGAGAAATTATGTTCAGCACAAGAACATTCAATTCAGATTCATTCCAAGTAAGCATAGAAGTGATTTTATTAAATTATTATAATTTATTCAAATAATATTGCTAAATCAGAGTGTCATTGCGTCTGCCTGAAATGCATTGAATTGACTATAAAGAATTATCTTAACTCAAAAGTTTAAGTTGTTAGGTGAAACTACATTAATAATTTTATATTTCTCTAATACACCTCCACACGAGAGCTCGTTGAGTTTGAAGGGTGGATGATGCATCAGGCTCAAGTTATCTATGCTAAGAAATTTCGCAATATTTAATCACTTTTATTAATAGAATGAGAACATTGAAGATCAAACTCATGACTACTTTGTCACATGGGCTCTAATACTATGTAAAGAATAATTTTAACCTAAAAATTTAAACTATTGAGTAAGTCTATTGATTTTATATTTCTCTAACATTGATACTCCGAATAGCAATTAAGATAAACTTTTTTTTTGAATAAGATAACCTATTATTTCAATACATTGATTTGTTTTTTTCTTTCTTTTGAGTGGCAGTAATTTGTCTTCTATGCAAAAAATCAGACTTATTAAAACCATTCGCTAGGTTTTTGTAACTAAAATTGTTTTACTCAAAAAAGACAAATATAATTTGTCCCTTTTCCTAAATGAAAACAGAGAAAACTTCATGAAATATCTCATGTCACAAATAATGAAATATGAATTGATATTGTTGATTCTAAGAACGTAGATATGATTCTTTCTTCAGTAATTGCCTTTTATTATTGTATACCTTGCGTATTTTACCAACACGTAATCTTACCTCTTAATTAGTAAATTGCCTTTCACATAAATTCAAATGAAAAATTAATAATATTAAACAAATGATATAAAGTGATAATGTCTTAGTTGATCATTAATTTAATTTACACATAATTTCTTCAGAGTAATATAAGGATCATTTGGATAAACTTATTATAATAAAATTTTCAAATACTTTTAAAAAGCAAAGCAAATGGCCATATGTAGTTTACAACTTAAATTTTATTTATAAAATCAACAAATTCAATTTCACTATCACGCATTATTTTCTAGCCGAACAGTGCATGTGATGGCACGTAAAAATCTCTCCTTTTCATCCCTTCTCATGTTCTAATTAACTGCTATTAAATATTGGATAGAGCACTCCTCGGACCCACGCCGCAACCCACTTAAGTGAGTTAAGTCATTGGAGTTTGGAGTGATAAGAACATACTGTGTCATAAAAAATAAAAAAAATAAAAATAGACTTATCATTGTAAGATGGTTTTATAACTAGGTTCCTTGTGATTCTTAATTTAAATCCATGTGATATTGCTTATGAGTTCTACCTCTCTTACATGCTCTCCTTTGTTTGTGACTCTCACTTACATATATAATTCATGCCTAAAAAAAAACCACATGAATTTGCAACCGCTTCTTGCATCAATGCATCACCATTTTGGCATATACCAATTAAACCATTGCATCACATTTATAAACTAAAACTACAAATCCAAACATCATCGTCATCATCAACAGCAACAACAAAAGGAAACGCACTACCCTTCCTATATATTGATTGTAATATTTATCCTAAGCTCTACCACCAACCGCTACTACCACCTTTTCACATTCTTTCATTCCTATGGGGTCTTTCACCATATCTTTTGTGCTGTTTCTTACCCTTTTCATTCAGGCAAGAGGATTTGCAAAGAGTGGTTGTGATCTTTTCCAGGGGAATTGGGTTTATGATGATGCATACCCTCTATATGAAAACTCTCAGTGTCCCTTTATAGAGAAAGAATTTAATTGCCAAAACAATGGTAGACCTGATAAATTGTATCTCAAGTATAGATGGCAACCCACTGGGTGCAACTTACCACGGTACACATTCTCTTTTGTTTTTTCATTGTGTCAATTTTATTTTGCTTTTTTATCAGTGCCATGTCATTTGATTATTTCCTACCCAAGTAGATGGATATAGATGCATGACTTTTTAATTTTTATGGTGATATCTTCTTTTTCAATTTTTTTTTTTTTTCCTTTCTTCAATATTGGTCTTTTATATATACGTTATTATTTACTTTACTATGTTCCATGTCAGTTACTTTTGAAACTGCTGGTTGTTTGACTAGTGATATGGAAATGGACAATGCGAACTAAGTTAAGAACAGAGAGAGAGATAAATTTATTGATGTAGGTAAATTCCTAGGGAACAGGTAAATTGTTTTTTCCGGGTGAATTTGGGGTTGAGGCTTAGCAGAGTTGACAGAAGCTCTGTTTGGGCAGGATTTCTTTCCCGCCATTTTTTATTCCTTAGATTAAAAGTTCTGGATGACCCAAATTATGATTTTTACTTAATGAGGTGATCTCTATGTTTATGTTATGTTACCTTACTTTATTGCCATTCGTTTTTGTTAGTGATTTTCAACTATAAATTACCATGCTTTGTTGTTTCTAAACTTTAATTCCACACCTAGGAAAAAAAAACAACAAAAAAACTCACTCATTCACAGGAAAAACAAATAAAACATTTTAACATGGGAAATTAAAACATTAGGAAGGAAATTCCAGTCATGGATTCTACATGGTTAAAACTAGAGAAAAGTATCTTTAACTAGTAACCCCAATATAAATTTGCCCTTGGAATTTTAGGACTCTATGCATGAAGGTTACCAATAAACAACTAATTAATTAGTGCTCCTTTTATGGGTAAAATACCTTTGTCAAGGTATTGACCTTCTGATAAAAACATAAAATAATAAAAAGCCATGAAATTAATGAACAGCCCAAAAGGTTAATTGTTTTGGATTTTTGTATTTTACCTTAGTGTAAGATTCTGTGCTTAAATCAAATGTGATATCTGATGGAGATTTCACAACTCCTCAGGTTCAGTTGTTACCTCTATCAAGAGTAAACCACAAAAAAGGAAAATATTAAAACGAGAAATGACTGTTTACTTGTTTATTAAAGCAACTAAAGGGTCACTATCAATCCTATAGATGAAAGTATGACATTTTATCTCTCTCTCCTAATACTGTTTGTTCCTTTCATATGTTAGAGATCTAATTTAAATTTGGCATAATTTTCATTCTGTTGCTGCCATTTAATATTTTACTCATCCCAAAATGAAAAAAGAAAAAAGGAAAGAAAAATAAAGGAAAAATAAACAAACAAACATTGCTCTTGTTTTAGAAAGTCTGAACATGACTTAAGTCTTATGAGCCATATAAAACATTAACCAATCTTGGTACCACATTTCCAAAATATGTCAGATCCAGGGTATGTTTTCTCTTTAACAGCCTCCCCCAGGTGACATTATTCAACAACCTTCAGATTTTTTCTAACCCAGTATTCATCAAATCAATTAAAGAATATGAAAGATTGTCTTTGTGATTTGTGAACCCCTAATTAACTGAAGACATTTTGTTGCTTCTGTCTGCACATTTCAAATCCATTATTTTTTTGCTGGACTCTCCCTTTAAATTATCAAATATCTAAAGATTCTGTAAGGTTGTTAAGCTTATATGTAAACTAACATAAAGTTTAAGTGCATAAGTCGGCAGAGACTTCCTCCATTGAGAGGGTGCTGTTGTAAAGTTGCTTTCAACTGTTTTTTCTTCAAATTAAGATCACATGCCATATTATAGAGCCCAACAAAAGACCATTAAACAAATATTTAAGCCATGCAATTTACCAAATAGTGGTAGCTCAGTTGGTAACTAGGAAACTGAATAAGTGAAAAGAAAAGAACCTTGATTCGATTCTCATAAATCATATTTGGAAGGAATTTAAATATTTTTATCCTGACCCGCTCCATTAGTCGCATAGCCAGTTTAAATATGTAATGAGGGTTGGGTTAACTTCCAAAAAAAAAGCCATGAAATTTGAATTGGACCCACTTATGATTTTGAATGAACTTTGTTGTACAGATTCAACGGGAAAGATTTCTTAAGAAGACATAGAGGGAAGAGCATCATGTTTGTTGGGGACTCCTTGAGTTTGAATCAATGGCAATCACTCACTTGCATGCTTCACATAGCTGTGCCACAAGCCCAATACACCTTAGAGAAGACTGGACTTCTCTCCACTTTCACCTTCCCGGTTAGATTTTTGTCTTTACTTTTCACTTTCCTCTTCTCTTAGTCATTGTCGCAACTAAAACCTATCAACAATTTCACTTTCACCCTACACTTGAGCTATGTTAAGGTGGTTGTGCTTTCCCTCTCGACTCTAAATGATTAATGGCATAATAAAAAATATGAATTGGGTTGCATCCATGCATGGAGAATCTTGAAATTAAATAAAGCATTGTTGTCGAGTAATAACAATTTATAGGTAATCATTCAATGATATAATATTACCTCCTAACAGCTGGTCCTTTTATTAAGTATTTGACTCTCAAGACATTATATACCATACATGCAAGAAAAAAAATGTGACCAAACAATTTATCCAAGCAAGGTGATACCGATAAAAAGGACTAATGTAATGCTTTGGTAACCGTAGTTAAAAATTTAATACAAGTTTATTAATTATCCAGACAGATTACAGAAGAAACAACATAATTGTTTAAAACAAACGGATACAAGCAGAGAGAAAAACAATGATTATTTATCAGTATAATTGTATTACTAAGAACTAGTTAATTAATTTTTTGAAAAAATCTCATCTGTGTAATCTTCCCACATTGGAAGTTTCAACAGAAGAAAATAGTTTAATCGATAGTATGAAATTCCAACCGTACAAATTGGCATTGTTGAAGTAATCAGGAAGATATTTTATTACATGCAAATGAATGATTGTTCAAGCTTTTTGAAATTTCTTATAGTTTGAAATGGGCTCATACCAAAGAAACAGAGCAAGTGTTGATTTTAATATTATACTGTTTTTATGAAAAAATCCTGTATTTTAAGAACCTAGTGCTTAACTATTCGATTGTTGAATCAACTTCTAATCATTATTCCTTGGCCCACAACCATGAATAATGGCTAATTTAATTATTCATGCATGTGGTTGACCATAACTAGGGGTGTGCATGGAGCGTTCGGTTCGGTTATTGTCAAAAACCAAACCCAACCAGTTTAAACGGTTTGAATTTTAAACCGAATCATTTTTTTTTTAAAATCAGTTTTTAATTTGTCCAAACCGGTTATCAAGTTCAAAACCGGTTTTTTAACAAATTCAAAATCGATTTTTGATGAATTGTGCTATTTTTATAAGTAGTCGTTTGTTTCTCCCGGTTATAGGTATGACCAACTATTTCTTGCAAGAATCTTCATCGTTTTGGAACTCTCAGGACGAGATGATTCGTATAGAAATTGCTCACGTTGTTTTTATGGAAAACATTTTCATCAAAATTTTCCGCAAAAATTTTTGACGAAAAATATTTCCATCAAAATTTGTGACTAAAAACATATCTGTAAAAAAATTTGACGGAAAATTATTTTTGTCGAATTTTTTTACGGAATATAAATTTCGTCAAAACATTTCCCTCAAAATATTTCACAAAAAACCATATTCATCGAAATTTTTGACGAAAAAATATTTCTATCAAAATTTTCCACAAAACACATTTCCTTCAAAAACTTTTGACGAAAAAGAATTTCATCAAAATTCTTTACGGAATTCAAATCTCGTCGAAAGTTTTCGACGGAAACATTTTCATTAAACTTTTTGACAAAAAATTTTCGTCGAAATTTTTAACGAAACACATTTCCATCAAAAAATTTCGACGAAAAATATTTCCGTCAAATTTTTTGATAAAAAACATTTCCATCAAAATTTTCAATGGAACACATTTCTATGAAAAAATTTCGTAAAAATTTTATGACGAACAATATTTCGAAAAAAAAAATTTGACAAAAGTATTTTTCGTCAAAATGTTTTATAAAAATATTTTTCGTCAAAAAATTTGAGGGAAATGATTGGAGGGAAATGATTGGAGGGAATTTAGATGCTGTCCAATCAAAAAAAAATTGAAATATTTTTCGCAAAATTTTTTACGTAAATATTTTTGGTCAAAATTTTCGCTGTAAATGTGTTTTGTTGGAAATATTTTTCGTCGAAAATTTGGAGGGAAATATTTTCAGTAAAAAAAATTTACAAAATTATTTTCTGTCCATTTTTTTATGAAAATGTGTTTCGTCATAATTTTTTACAGAATTATTATTCGTTGAAAAGTTTGACAGAATTGTTTCTGTCGAAAGTTTCGACGAAATTTAGATTCTATCAAGAATTTTGTCTGAAAGTTTTTGTCCCTCAAAAATTTATGTCAGTGATTATGACAAAATCTTGTTTCGTCTCTAGTTTCGACGAAATTTTTTTCGTCTCTATTTTCTACGTAATATGATTTTTGTCAAAATTTTCGACGAAATATTTTTCTTCGATAAATTTTGTTAGTATTTGAGACTTTTTGAATAATGTCACATTTAAAAATGATTCATATTTATGTAATTTTCACATTTTAATGTTAAGGATAAAAAATAATACTTATTTGTTCTTTAATTCCAAAATAGTTTGGTTATGAATAACCATGGATAACCAATTATTTTTATGGTTTGATAAATTACCAGTTTATAAAATAAAATGCAGTTTCATATGAAACCGATTTTTAAAAATAACCGGTTTTTAAAATGTGGAGCAGTTTGATTATGGATCGGTTTGGTTCTTTTGGACATTTTGAACACCCCTAACCATAACCATTGATATTTGTATTATTAGGAGCAGACCCAGTTGGAAAAACACTCTGGCAATGGTCTATAAAAGAAGCATTTCTAATAAATAAATTATTCTTTCAACTTAAGGACAGAAGTTTTGGGATTTTTTTGGAAGGTTAACCATCGCTCACAAATTTAACAATCATCAATGACTAATAAACTCGACATATTTTTAAAAGATTAATTTTAACTTAGCATGTGTTTGGTATAGCAAAAGGTATTACCCCGTATAAAACAAGACATGTCTATAACAAGTAATTTGGTCAGCGCTTGGCATAAAATCTTGATTTACCAATAATGTACTAAATTTCTAACTAGGAGTAGAAACTTGTTTCAAGTCAAATATCACATAACTTATTGCTTGTGTAACACAAAATTTGCAGGCCTATGATGTTAAGTTGATGTTTTCACGCAATGCACTTCTAGTGGACATTGTTAGCCAAAGTATTGGTCGAGTCCTGAAATTAGATTCAATTGAAGCTGGCCAAACGTGGAAAGGAATAGATGTGTTGATATTTGACTCTTGGCATTGGTGGCTTCACACAGGAAGAAAACAACCGTATGTAAATTCCCATAGCTAGATACACTCTTAATCCCATGTCACATGCTAACTTTGTATTAATTTTCTGACTCTTGTTTCCTTATACTTTGTACTTTCAGATGGGACTTCATACAAGAAGGGTATCATACATTCAGAGACATGGATCGCTTGGTTGCATATGAGAAAGCATTGAATACATGGGCCAAATGGGTTAATGACAATGTTGACCATACCAAAACAAGGGTATTCTTCCAAGGAGTCTCTCCAGATCATCTCAAGTAAGTATCTGCTGCCACTTAATGAATTGACTATAATGAGCCAAAAATTAAAAAAAAATTATATCAATTTCTTTAGGGCCATTTCTTTTTATTCATTTTGCCTGCAAGCTTTCACCTTAAAATATATTATAGTGTAAACAAAATCTTTATAATTATAAATTAATGAAAGGTAACCCTTCATGCTATAATCATACTCCAATGTATTGTGATGAGCTTGAGCATACGCATGGAACTATAATGCTGTATATAGATGGCCTTTTCGCTAGGTTGGGAAAGATGATTAATTGTTTTCTTGTAACTTTTCAATCTTAAACCTTTTATGTACGGCAACTGTCACGAGGCAGTGAACATAGAGCATACCCTTAGCCCGTTAGCCCACTTTTTGTATGGCAGCGACCCGACAAGCCCAGTAAGATCTCTGTTCACCCATCAATAGGTTTAATTAATAAACCTATATTAAATACATTTGATATCGCATCTTAACTCAAAATATTAAAAATAGAAATATTTTTGCTTTAACTATAGAAAAAAAAATTCTCTACGATACTCATATAAAAAAGAGTGAGCTCTATAACTTTTTTTTCTCTTCTTTCTACAAAGGAAGCCACTTATTTTTATACGAGTGTAGCAGAAAAAAATTTCTGCAACAAAAATAAAAATATTTAACCCAATTTTATATCATTGGATTTATGAGTCTTATCATTTATATGTATTATCCTTAACTCATTATTTCTCATTGCACGACTTTTTATCATTCGCTTTCCAATATTACTATTATATAAGAACAATATTATTTACAAAAGGTATGTTGTCGTTATAAAGGTAAACCTATACTATATATATGGGGAAGGTATACAGCGTGTAAGCAATATTATCAAAATTGAGTTTCTACTATAAATATGGGAAATAGTAGAGACGTAAATCGTAAAAATGACACAAAACGTTAAGTTTATACTACTTAAGATCAAGATACAAAATTATATATATATGCATGTAAAAAATATATCACACAAGTCACTATTCAAAATTCAAAGAACAACTTCATATTTAAAATATGGGAAAAATGTTTCTGCAGTTAATGCAGATAAGTTATCTGCATTTATTCCTAAAACAACGTCATTTTGGTATTGAAATCTTAAAAAATTATGAATATAAAGACTATTATAACCCTAAAATAAATTAAAATTACAAAAACATCATAATTTTCGTCTCAAAACGACGTCGTATTGGCTTACTGCAGATAAGTTATTTGCAGTAACTGCAGAAAAAATGAACCCTTAAAATATATAAATCTCATAACTATATAAGACATAATTCTAAAAACACAAAAAGACTTTAACAACTCCTATAACCAAGTTCCAAAACATCAAAAGAATAAAATTTAACAACTCCTAAATGAAAATACAGTGACCTCCCGCAAGGTTTGTTTTTCCAGATAGCTGGAAGAAGATACTGTGTATTTGATTTGGGAGAAATGGAGATAGAATTTTTTTTGGTTTTATTTTATTTTTTTAAAAATTAAAAAAAAATCAGATCATAGGTTAAATGTTAACCCATTTCATTTTTTTTAAATTAAAACGTAAAAAATTGTGTTTCTATCGTTTTTATATTTTTACACAGAGTTTTTACTAGTTTTTATGGGGAAGAGTTTTTACTTGTGTTTTAACATGTATCACTTCAGTAAAAATGTAAAAAACGTAATTTTTTTGGTATGTTTCTACACTTATTTTTGACAACAATGACCATAAGAGTAAGAATTCTAAAATCATTATTAATTACTAATTCTTGTCGCATTTAACGTTTTTAATTTACTAGAGATGAGAGTTCACGTAAATCGTTAAATGTCGGCAAAATCAACGGTTAATAAAGGATATAAGTGTTCTTATTTTTATATGGGTATAAATTGATGAGAAATTAATATTTAAATGTTTGGAGTCAGAATTGGAATTCACTTTTGTCTGAATTGTTATTCTTCCAGTGCTGAGGAATGGGGAGAACCAGGAGCAAACTCCTGTGAAGGACAAACTAGGCCAGTATTGGGATTCAAGTACCCAGGAGGTCCACACCCAGCAGAGTTGGTTTTAGAGAAAGTGATAGGAACCATGGAAAAGCCTGTGTATTTGCTCAACATTACTACCCTATCACAGATGAGGAAAGATGGCCACCCATCTGTTTATGGATTTGGAGGACACAGAGGCATGGATTGCAGCCACTGGTGCCTATCTGGTGTTCCTGATACTTGGAATGAGCTTTTATATGCTATTCTCATTCAAGATTAAGTGCATAATCTTATTTTTATTACATTACAAATAAAATGTGTTCCTAAAGAATATATATTTCTTATTCAAGCAATAAAACATGAGATATGTTATATTTATAAATTTTTTGTTTAAAAATTCTTACAAATCAAACTATATACTTCGAAAAATATATTTGTGTATTTTCAAAATAACATAACTCTTTCCATAAAATAAATCAAGATTTTGTATAGATTCATCAAATATGGTATGATACCAACGGGGGTTGGCTCAAGTGGTAAGGTACTTAGGTTCGCTAAAGTAAGAACTCGAGTTCGAGACCTTGTGTATGCAGAAAATCTTCGCTGGGAGACTCACCTGTCAATGCTAGGTAATCTACCCGGATCAGACCGGACATAATCGGGGGGAAGCCCCGGAAACCAATGGAGCAATCCAAAAAAAAAAATCAAATATGGTATGACGTCATATATCGGTATTATTATTTGGGAATTTAATTTGACTCCAACAGGAAATTTTCAAGTCTAAATTAAATTAAAATATCGGCTTCACACTATTGAATTGAATACGCCAAGATTAGTGAAGAGTGAAGAAGAAACAGAGAAATGCTTAATAAATCACGAAATAATTAATAAAAAAACAATCAATTAAATTTATTAATAATTAACAAAGTTAAAGTTTAGAAACGCAATGAGTATATGTTAATTGATTCCGTTACATATTACTCTCAGATTTTAGGGAGTTTTAAAACGAAAGTCTTTCGGTATATCTAAGAAGCCCGAACGGCACATTGAAATGCGCGCATTGGCTGCATGCAGTAGCGGTATTGCATGTATGCTTTACTCCGCCGCGACCAATCATTTTTACATTTTTTAAGCAAAAAAGCGAAGCAGTGTGCCTGAGCGTTTACATTTTTTAAGAAAGAAACTCACCAATCATTTTTATATGAAATACTTTAGCTTCACATAGACATAACTCCTACGAATTTAGATATTTAGACGGTTTTTTGTTTATTTTTTGGTTTCATTTTTAATCTCTGTTTCCACTAATAGTTACAAAATTCCACCTTAGTATTATTCCTATTTTCAAGAATTAGCACACAAAAAATTGATAAAATCAACTCTTACAAAAAAAAAATTATTTGATTAAATCACACCCACCAACTTCCAAAAGTCATGAAATTTAACTAAAAAAAAGGGGGGAAAAGAGTAGTTAGAGGACCAGTGATGGTGGGTAGTGCGAACGAGTTTGAGATTCAGGCCATGTGAATTGGCAGCTTCGAGAACCTTCTCCGGTTCAACGGGGTCCATTGTTGCAACTTCTTTGGTAGTCTCGTCCACGATCCTGCAAATAACCCAGATTCAGATATTGCCCAAAATCGAAACTCAGAAATGCAAAATTAGAATATTATAAGTAGGAATAATTGTCTTGGAGGCTAGAAATGTGATGGATCTTCATGCTTCTTCTCTTCTTCCCAATTCAAGGTGAATACACTCTCACAGTCACTCGCACGACAATCTTGCTTTTGCCACCTACAACTATTCCAGTGTTTTTGAAAGAGATGTAAAAATCCATACTATCAGCCCTTCTATTGCTTAGAGAAATTATGGAACAATAGGAAAAGATTCAGAAGTATTATGGCTACCAAATTTAGATGAAAGGGGGGAGGCGGGAGGTGAAACGACGAAAGCGGGAAGTAAAGGGGGAAATGAAATAATGGTGTGAAAGAATAGAAAATATAAAAAGAAATAAAAGATAATTAGTGTCAAATATAGTAAATATAAAATGTCAAATTATTATCCTTATAATACACTATTAATTATGAATTTAATAATATATTAGTTAATGTATTGATTGGCATTTGGCACTATCTGTTTGTCAATTTATACTTACTTTTTTAAGATAAAATCAACCCTTACAAAAAAGAGAGGATAAAATCAACTCTATATTATCATATTTGATTATTCTAAAATCAACCCTCTAGATAAACTAAGATCATTATTGGACTAACGATAGATAAAGTTGTCTATTTTAGAATTATAATTATCCTCAAGTAGGGGTGTAAATAAATTAGGTAGTCTATCAAGGGCATACGACCCGGCTTACATTGGGCCAAACTTGACCTATTATATAGAGTAAAATAGAACTGACTCAAGTTTTGAAAAAAGGCTATTTAGAAAACACTGTTAATACAATTCTCGTGTCTTTTGGTTATATTTATGTCAATTCATTGTTCAATTTGACTTCTAATGCATAGCAAGTTGGAAGCTCATCACGCACACATACTAACACCCATACAATCTAGATAATCCAACAAAAAGTTCATGTTTTTACAATTTTATAAACATTCACATTTAAATACAAAATTAAGTTCGTAAATCTGTCCCAATTAGGATAGATTATTTTCCGTCCTTAAATCTGTCTCTATTAGGGAGAAATTCTTTTCGTCTCTATTAGGGATGGAAAAATTATGTCCCTAATAGAGACGAATTATTTTCCGTCCCTATTAGCGACAGATTTAGGGACGAATTTTATAAATCATATCCTAATTAGAGACGGACAATATTCTGTCTCTATTAGGGACGAAATTAGAGACGGGTTACGAAAATTGGAAATATTCTGTCCCTAAGTCTGTCCCAAATAGGGACAGAATATTTTTCCATCTCAATATTCGTCCCTACTAGAGATAGAACTTATTTCGTTGCTAATTTTGTCCCTAATAGGGACAGATTGTTTTTCCGTCTCTAAATCCGTTCCAATTAGGGACAAACGATTTTCCGTCTCAAAAATTCGTCCCTAATTCATACTTTTTTAATAGTGCTTTGTACCTCAATGCTCAAAATTAGAGCAGGAATACTGACATCCTCTGTTTGCAGTTGTACGAATCCCTCTCAAGAGCTCCAACTGACAAATGACCATTAGATATGAAGTAAAATGAGTGTAACACTTGCTTAGAGTATTATCTGTCATAGGCACTATTGTCACTATCTTTCCTATGATTAGCTGACATAGGCATTATTGTCACTACACGCACTCAATATCTGCCACAAAGGCGGCGACTAATTTATGCCAATGTCCCTTATAAATTTGATTTATATGTTCTTTTTGAATTTTGCGAGGGACATATTCCGTTGCAATTTGCGAGGGAATATACTCCCTCGCAAATTGCGAGGGAAATTGCAAGGAAAATTATGAATTTTCAGTTGCAGTTTTTTGTCCTAGATCTTGCGATGGAATTTCCGTCGCCAATATTTTCCCTCGCTAGTTTCCGTCACAAACTTATGATGTTTGCAAGGGATTTAATTTCCCTCACAAATTGCAACGGAATTGCGACCAAACTGCAACGGATTCTGCGACGGTGTTGTAGTAAGGGAAAATTCGCCTATTTTCCCTCGCAATTGTTTTTCTCTTGCAAATTCCGTCGCAGTTTGCAAGGAAATTTTTCCCTCCCAAATTTCCCTCACTATTCGCGACTTTTCTAGTAGTGAATTGAAATTTGTGAACCACAAGAATTAATACAAAATTTTAAAATTTAGCTGACTTATTTGAATATTACTAGAAAGTTTAGAAATCTACATACTGATATAATCTTTTCAAATTGTTCATTTATTTATTTTTTTTAAATTAATCAAACTCATTATATTTATTCATTTTACTCTTTCAAAATAAGGAATGTTAAAATTTCATAAGAGTATTTTGGAAGCTTTCGAATTTGTTATAGGAAAAAAATGTTTATCCTTTTAAATGACACAACTTATATCATTTCACTCTCACAAAGAGGTGGGACCCACACCTTCACATTTTTTTGTCCACTCTCTCTCCTCCTTTATCTATCTCTTTCTCTCACTTAAAATGTTACAACTTTACATTCTTTAGAATGATAAACACTTTTTCATTGTTATAATGATAAAAGATTAAGTTTAGTTTAAAAAAAAAAAGATTAAGTTTATATGGTTGTAGCAAACGCTTCCTATTTAGCATAGGAGAATTGTCACCAAAAATAACGTATTTAGCATAGGAGAATACTATATGGTTGTAACCAAACGCTTCCAATTTATCATAGGAGAATAGTACTTCATTAATGTCATCAAATACCTTCTTAATTTGTTTCCTTTTAAGTTCTACCTCTCTTTCATGCTCTCCTTTGTTGACTCTCACTTACATATATAATTCATGCCTAAATAGAAAACCACATACATTTGCAACGGCTTTTTGCATCACCATTTTGGCAGATACCAATTAAACCATTGCATTAAATTTATTTAAAAAACTACAAATCCAAACATCATCAACAACAGCAACAACAAAAGGAAATGCACTACCCTTCCTATATATTGGTTGTCATATTTATCCTAAGCTCTACGACCAACCGCTACTACCACCTTTTCAAATTCTTTAACTCTTATGGGGTCTTTCACCATATCTTTTGTGCTGTTTCTTGCCTTTCTCATTCAGGCAAGAGGATTTGCAAAGAGTGGTTGTGATCTTTTCCAGGGGAATTGGGTTTATGATAATGCATACCCTCTATATGAAAACTCACAGTGTCCCTTTATAGAGAAACAATTTGATTGTCAAAACAATGGTAGACCTGATAAATTCTATCTCAAGTATAGATGGCAACCCACAGGGTGCAACTTACCAAGGTACACATCCTCTTTTATTTTTTCATTGTGTCAGTTTTATTTTGTTATTTTGCTTTTTTATCAGTGCCATGCCGTTTGATCAATTCTCACCCAATCAGATGGATATAGATGCATGACTTTTATGGTGATATCTTCTTTTTCAAAAAAACTTTCCTTTTTTCAATGTTGGTCTTTTATACATGGGAAATATACTTCTTCTTTAATTGCAAACAAAATTTTTTGCAACAACTGATTTACACTATATACATAATAATTATAATAGTAAAATTGAATTTTTTTCTTCGCCATCTTATGATTTTGAATGAACTTTTTTGTACAGACTCAATGGTGAAGACTTCTTAAGAAGACATAGAGGGAAGAGCATCATGTTTGTTGGGGACT